ACTATTACATCTCGGAAGCAATTACATGATATTGATAAAAAAAAATGCGAGAAAAATAAAGCTACGCTATTACAGTTAAGCGCGCCCTATACACTTTATCTAGGAAAATAAACATAAGATGAAAATAGCAAATAAAATGTTTTGGTGATTTTTTTATGAAAAAATGATTTATGATAATTAATTAAATAAACCTAAAAAAACTAATTAATTTTAATTAATAAAAAATATTAATTTTGAAAAAAAAAATAATTAAAATTCCTAAAATCTAATTAGTTTGAATTAAAAAAGGTTAATTTAAAAAAAAGGTTAATTAAAAAAAAAGGTTAATTAAAAAAACCCTAAAACCTAATTAATTTTAATTTAAAAAAAAAGTTTAAAAAAAGCTTATGTTTAATGATTAACAAAAAAGAATTAAGTTTGCCAAAAAATAGATAGGGGAAAAAGCATCAATGAAAAATAGGGTTAGAAAATACAAATAATGCAAATGTCACGGGTGAGTGTTGAACCAAAAATTAATTTAAAACCTAAAATTAAATTAAAAAACCTAAAATTAATTATTCGAGTTTATTATGAAAAATCAAAGATTTGTGAAAAATGTTAAGTTTTATGAAAAATGTTTTAAATAGAAAGAATGAAAATAGGTAAAAGGATAAATAGAATGGAAGAAAACCAAAACCAATAGGGGTGGAGTTGAACCCACGCCCTTTAGCCTCCTTAGGATGTCTGCCTTGCCAGGATCCATGCATTGGTTGTTATTCTATTTTGACCTCAACATTTTGTAATAAACCTGCATGGGACCATTAGATGGTCCAAACCTGTAGTGTTGAATCTCATGAACACATTAAATAAATTAGTATATCATGAAATACAAAGAAAAATAAATATATGAAATTTTGTAATGTTAAAATCGATATGGCAAGTATGAATGCTTCTACACCCTTTTGATCATGGAGATCAAACCAGCCTTACCCATACTGGAGAATGAGATGACTTGTTTGTAATGAGACGGGAGTTTGTAATAAGGATGGTTTGTTTGTAGTGAGATGGGGGTTTGTAACAAGGATTTCAAGATTTATAGGGTTTTTGAAAGAATTTGATATTTTGACAAGGTTGTGGCAAGGGTTTTTTTTCCCGTCGTGTTTGTGTGAAAAGAATGAGATTATATAATGGAAATTAGAGTAAAGATATGGGTTTTGAATGTGCAATTGGGCCTCCAATAACCACAAGCAATAATACAAATTTTTATTCACTTGAGTCTTACACGTTCCAGGCTAAATTGCAGGGACTTAAATGCAATTTTTGAAGTTGAAATGTGAAAACAAAATGTATCCAATATCAAGAACAAACTCCTGTCAGAAAATAAGCTTAATCGGATAAACGGTAAATTTGTTATGAATTTTTGAAGTTTCGCCTCACACAAACTTATTTTGGGCTCGAGTGTCAACTCTGACACGTTCTTTTATAAAAAATTGGTATTGATCAGAGAAGAAACTGGTCTCGACTTTGGAAGAAAAGTTGTAGATCTCTAAGTCAGTGACGTTGTTTAAAAAGATGGGTCCGATCCGATAAAAATTGACTGAGTTATGAATTTTTGAAGTTTCGACTCAGACGAAATAATATTCAGCATTCAGGATTTTCGGCGCGTTACGCACACTCAGAGCAAAAAATGAAGGCCTTTTGGATAATGTTCAAACTCGATACCTCCTGAGAAAACCTAGCCAACTCCATTTTTGAAATTTTGGCGCTGGAACCAGCTCGATACGATGAAAATCGACCAAGTTATGATTTTCTGAACATGATGCAAATAAACTTTTCTCACAGATTTTCTGTACGAAAATACTTGATAAATCCGCATTTTTGAAGACCTTCTGATCGAAATTGGCTTCCAGTCGTGAGATATGAAAATATAGATGACGTTAATACGGAATTTTTTCCACCTGAACAGGTTCAAAACGAGCCACGATCTTCAAGTTATGAATTTTTTAGTGCATAAAAACTGCACTTTCAACACACTTTTTCACCATATTTCTTCGAGAAAAATCACACATTCGGTGACCTTCTTTAAAGAATTGGCTCTCGAGCCAAACCTGAATTTGAGAATTATTGTCAGGGATATCTTGGCGAAAGAACACCTGAATATGACGCGCTGGGTTGGACTTGTGAATCTTTGAACCCCGAATCGTTGCGAAACAACGAACCAATCTTCAGCACAAAAAATACTCTGAGAACATCCATTGGCGAAATAAACATCACCTGTAACCTGATGAAGCTTGCTAAATATACCTTAATTCCATAACCATAAAACCAATGATATGCGTGTATGTAATAATGAAATGTAAGCCCAAAAGTTCGAAATAAAGAGGGTAAATTTTGGGGTACAATGGAATGGAAAACCCATACTTGAGAAGATTGAGCAAAATGAAATTTATATAACAAGTTCTCGAGCAAAAACAAGTCATAAGACAACACATTTAGGTTTAAGCAGTCTTCTTCGATTATGTTTATGGTTATTGAGTCAATGACTAAAAATTAAAATTATAAACTCTAAAACAATTGAGAAAGTAATTAGTGTGTAATACCCGATATAATTATTCCTTAATGGCTATTACTAATTATTTTTAGTGATGATTATTAGAGGATAATTATGCTAAGTCGATTAATTGGTGTATTGTTAGAAATAGACTAAGTGGGACATTAGGGGTATTATTGGCTTTTCACTCTCTTAAGTGAACAAGATAGGGACATGTTTGGCTTAACTCTCATTCCATTCATTTGAACAAAAATTAGATTTTGGAGATAGAGATGAAGAGAAACGTGAAAGAGAGGAAAAGAAGAGAAGTTCCATTTTCTCAAGTTTAAGCTTCAATCTTGCTGAAACAACTGGCTGAAAATAATCCAACAATGAAGTCTCCATTGAACGTCTTTTATCCCATATAAAGCGAAAGGTACACATCGAGAAAACCTGAAAAGGGAGAATTCATGGTCTCACGACCGAGATATCGGGTAAGGGAGTCTGTTACACAAGGGGAAGGTATTAGCACCCCACACGCCTATAGTACTCTATGGTATCCACTCTTGTTGTTTATCTTATGGGTGTGTTTAAATATATACTTACTGCTTATTACTGAGGAAGAATGCATGCAAAAGAAAGGAGAAAATAATGTAGGAAAAATAAAGTTGTGCTTGCTTGGGCCCTACCCCAATGCCTACGTATCCTTTTTGAGGAATTAGAGTTACCATAGTTCGGCTCACATGTTTTTGTTTGTTTTATGTTTTTTATGAACAATGTTAATTCCGCCTTCTGCTGCAGCTCGACCTTTAGAGACTCACGTGTTGTCACAGAAGTAAATTAACATGTCCTTACCTGAAAAGGGTTTTGAGTTACGCTCTCAAGGCAAGATGCCACATTTGATTGGTTTGTGTTTTGTTACCTTGAAAAAAGGGTTAAGTGTGATTAGCATGTTTTATGATTTGCTAAGAAAAAGAAAGTTTTAGTTTTAGATGCAAGGATGCAAAAAGGGGAAGAAAAGAGTCCATGGGAGACTAGCTTATTTCTAACCCTAATGTTATCATACAATGGTGGCCATACGGTTTGGATTAACAAAAGGGAAACGTCTACGTAATGTTAGCATACATGGCTTACAACCTAAGTTTTAACTTGCATCCGAAAGGAACAAGCACATCCTAAGGGGACATCATATGTACAAGGATAAAACAAACACAAAATGGTAATGAAAATAAATGAAATGCTTTAGTCAAGGGGAGCGTATCACCTGAGACAAACAAGCGGGAGTAGGATGTAAAACAAAAATGTGATGTCCAAAGCAACTGAACACCTAACTAAGATATAGAAGATCGAGGTAGGGACAAAAGGCAATATGAACAATCACAGAGTGTCAGCATTGGCCAATGTGAGCTCCTAACAAAGCGTGGGGGTTTGATTGCAAAATCCTTTCCCACTTGACGACTCGATAACAAGAGCAAGCATAACTCTGAAGCATCATGGTGCGTCACGAGCAAAGTATGACACAAACAAAATTGTGGGGATGATTGTGAACCCTCCCCACTTGCCTCCTTTTGAAGACTTCAATAACGAATGAGGGAATAGATGCAAGCACAAATATAAACGCACGTGCGGAATACCTACTTCAAAGGTAGGGTTTTAAACAAACACAGATAGCACACATAATGCACACAATGTGGAATTTCCCTAAACGGGTCTTTAAATAAACCAGAGGGGTTCCTGACATGATCAACAACGGAGATCCCCTTCATACATCTCTACCCTACTTCACATGGCATCAGAAAGCAGTAAAGCCCTACTTCTCATGATCTCTAGAAAAGTGGTAAAGAAATGTTGTAAAATGCAGAGAGATATAAAAGTAGTAGCGGCGACTACCACAAGCAAGCCAATCGTCTAAAGTGGAAGAAAGCGATGGAGAAGCAAGGAGTACACGTTAAGTAAGATTCACCAAGAAACAAACAAAGTCAGAAACGATATCCAACTAAGATAAAAGCAAACACGTGTTGCGAATGCAACGCGTAATCAGAAGTTCCTGCACAAAACATCATAAAATATCACATGCATCTGGTCAACATATAATATAATATGAATTTCTCAAGATGATGAGAAATAAGGTGTGTCGCATCGGAAGTGAGCATAAGACATATTTCTCGATAACATAACAACTTGTTATGTCACATGATCGAAAGCATAAAGAATGTACCTTGCACAATGAACAAATGCGTCAAAAATAACGAGGCACGATAATACAAAATATGAATAAAAACTAAAAGAAAAAAAGTATTTTTTATGTGAGAAAATTCTTTTAAAAAAACTAAAGAATTAATAAAAACATTCTATTATATTCTACCATTTTTATTGTTTTCAATTATTGAAATTAAAAAGAGAAATGAAATAAAAATTTAAATAAAAAGACTAAAAACTAAAATAACACCAAGACTCAAGGGGAGTATATGCATGAAACTGGGAGTGTGGGCTAGATCCAGGGTGCTGCAAAGCAAAGGTTGGTGCAAAGGCCCATTCCAGCAATATCCACAAGCAACTTTTTGTTGTTGTTGCTGAACTTGATTCCCAAAAACCAAGTACAATTGAGCCCAGTCCATATGTCACCAATAATCAGCAGCTTGGATATAACAAAAACTACAACGGGCCAAGAGGGAGTATGGTCCGGTCCTATTTGATCCATAATCACCAATTATGACATTATCCATTACTTATTCCCTTGGATAAAACAAATTTGAAAGGGGTGTATCATGTAATTAGGTCACAGTAGTGCCTCTTTGACTCCTTTTGAACGATAATTCCTATTTCTCCTCTCTCAATTTGGCATCGTTCCCGATTTATCCTTCCCTGGTCTACTCGTTGTTGTCTCATAATCCAAACAACACAGTAACCTCCTCCTTCTCCTATAACCTCCTAATCGCTTGCGAATCAGAATCTCATCTTCACAGATTATAACCTTTTTTGGATCTAACAGATAAGCTATACCTAATCTCACAAAGTACCAACACTAGACGTTCTTCGCCTAGAAACCAAGCCGCTCCTGCGAAGCCGAGAGTTGCTTTGGCGTTTGTTGTGAATAACAGAGGCGAAGACGAAGCAGAAGTGAAAGTCAGAAGCTTGATTCTCAGGTAATCCTTACCATTTCTTGCTTTCACAGCATTAACTCTTCTTCTCTTCTCTGATTCCTTGCGCTTTTTGCGTTTTCTGTGATATTATTATTGAAATTGTCAATGATTTTTGTTAATTCGGTTACAGAGATTTGCATTGACGCAGAGAAGTTACAACAATGAGGATTGATGCAGTTGTTGCAATGTTGTAGATTGTTGATGAGTGATGAAGATGTGAAGCGTTGAGTTACAGATTAAAGGTCGACATTGACGGAGCTTATATAATCGTGAAAAGATGTCGAAGGTTCATAGGAAAGGAGAATGAATAAGAGAAGATGAGGAAGAATTGCAGAGAGAACAAAGAGGTGCCAAAAAATTGCAGATGATTGCAAAAGGTTAAAGAAGATGAATCATATGAATGAAGCAGAAGATTGAAGAGAGAAAGTGAGAGTCTGAGAGACAGGCTCCGCATTGAAAGGTGAATCTTGATTTTTCTATGATTTGTAAAATGGATCGTACAATGCTCAAGATTGCGGAAGCAATAACTTTATGCAGATGGAGAAAGGTTGAGTAATTGTTGCAGAGATTAGAGGGACGTGGATGAAGATGGTGATGAAGTATCAAAGTAAAAGTTTTGAGATTTTGTGAGTGATTCTTCTGAAAAAATTGAAGAATTAATGAGATTGAAAGAGAAAGTTTGTTATATAGCAGCAAAAGTTTATTATAGTTGAAGCTATCTTGGCCTTTGGATCAAAAAATCAGTTGGAAAATGGATGATGAGGATTGAAATAATTATGAGGTTAGTTCGAGAGTTCTGATCTTCTGAGTTTTTGCTTTACATGATTTGTGATTTTCCTTCTCCTCATTTATTTTGTTTATTGATTCAAATAGTTTCTAATTTATTCTCACAGTTTTCCTCTATTCACTTTTCTTCTGATTTTGTTCTGTTATGCAGTCGACTTTACATCAGTCTTGGATTGGTTTTATGAATATGGTTCAGAGTTGGTTCCGATAAGTTTGGATAGGTCTGATGCAACATGCTTAATATGGACTGGTTCAACTTTCTTAATTATGCAGGGTGGTTCTTTTCTTGGTTCAACTTATAATAAAATGAACTGTTTTTCCCCCACAGGTTTGAGTTGGTCTGGTATGACAGTTAAGAGATTAGAAAATAGTTAGGATCTCAAAAATTGTTACAGGTTAGTTAGCTTTGTTTTTGAAAAGCAATTAGCACTGTTAGTTCTATTTTGCATTTTTCTGATTTTTTTTCTTTGAACTAATGCAGGGCTATCAGTTAGTACAAGGACTGATTTATAGATATAGTGTCGATTTATGCAAATACAGGGCTGGCTGTAGCAAGTGGTAGCATGGAGGTGATTCTGATTGTTGTGCTTCTACATGTCTGAACTGATGTCTGTGGATCCATACAAATGTTGAAGTCATAACTTTGGCGCCCATTTGGCCATGAAGAAAATTGAAGACAAAGATTAAGGATTAGGCTAGATTTATGATTAGACTTTGATGTAAATGTCTTTTGTAATGTTCCTAAAAATCGGTGATATAAATGGCGACGTTTTGAATGGAAACTCTCTTGTAATGAATTTCCCCTTTGAGAAAAATGTGATAAACCTTGAATGCCTCGTTTGAATTTCCAACCTTTTTCGCTATATGTTTTTTAACATTGAATTGTAATGATTTCCATGTCCATTGAAACTTGAAACTTTTACGGTGCTTTGAACAAATTTGGATATAATTTGAATGAAGCTTGAGATTATATTGGATCTTATGAATGTAATATGCAATGGTCCTTCTTTTTCAAATAAAGTTTGGAATTAATTTTCCCTTCATATGCTTCATTTTAATTTTCTAATTTTCCTTTAATTCTTGCAACACTTGAATAAGTACTAACAAATAGGATGACAACCAACAAATGCTTAACATGGACTCTGGTATAAGGTCTCATCCAATAGTTTTCAACTTAGAGGTGATTCCATGAAGTCCATACAAAGTTCCATGTTCAAATCCGCACTCTTTTAATGAAACTTAAAAAAAAAAACTACAGTCACAAATAAATGGAAATGGAAATGTCAAAGCCTCAAATGATTAGAACAACTTGATTCATAGCCAAGACCAAACTCATATGATAAACCCAAGCATAAGGAAGTAAACCCTGCTCCGTGACCAAGGATGCCTTGATGAAGATAAGCCTTGCATGAAGTCGACTAAGAAGTCCGTAATGACCACATGATTAAAATACGATTCAAGACCAAGAAAACTTCAATAGATTGAAGCCTGTATAAAATACGCACCTCAAACCATGTGAACCCTAACTTTATCCCTAACCTTGATCCCATGCCAAATTTATTGATGATGCTAAATAACCTTGTATGAGGGACATACCCTACTCACGATGATTGTATCTCAGTTGAAATAAACCATGCAAAAGATACGAAACCTTGACACCAATACGAAACCCTAATCCCATGACCATTGATCCAAGTGCCAAGCCTTATTGTTAGTGAATGCCTACGATGTTAGATGACCTAATGGAAGATACATACATGAAAGATGTAAGATGCATAAGCCAAATAAAAGTGAAAGGGGTAGGACAAATTTGGGGTATTACACTTGCATGTATCAATACCCATTCCAATTTCTTGTTTCTTCATCATCTCCTTTTGTTTGTACAACTTCTTCTTCTTCAAATCAAGGTGAGTCTCCTAGTTAGAGACTTGGGGTTTTGTGGGGATTTGTAGAATTGGGGATTAAGGGTTTTGTATGAGAAAAACCATTGCATGTTTGATTCTAATGATGAATAGAATATATCCTTGTTATTTTATGTGTTTAGAAGTTGTGGGTACATGGATTAAGGTGCAAAAATGGGGATTTGGAACCCCAAGTTTATATTCTACATTATTCTAGTTTTTCTGCACACAGAGTACCACCTTTAGCGCGTGGAGGACCGCTTAGCGCACTCTCTTGAACATGATTTTATTCTTTGCTTCCCTTTAGTGCAGTTTTGTTCCGTAATGGGAACCAGATGCCTCATTAGTCTTTTTGACTTTTAGATTATTTTTTTGAAATGCATGATGTTATGATATGATCAATCTTATGCCATTTATATATATATATATATATATATATATATATATATATTATATATATATATATATATATATATATATATATTTATATATATATATATATATATATATATATATATATATATATATATATATATATATATATATATATATATATATATATATATATATATATATATATATATATATATATATATATATATATATATATATATATATATATATATATATATATATATATATATATATATATATATATATATATATATATTATATATATATGCTTGGATAAATATATTATGATGGTAAATGCTATAATGTGACCATTTAATTATGTTGTTCTTGTAACACGGTGGGAAAACTGGCTTGGGTGTTTTACGTTTGATCGCAATTGTTGTAGATAGCAAGAGTCGCCACCGACTTATCTTTTATCCAATAAAGAAAAGGGTGAAGTGTACGTGTGTTTAATTGCATGCATTTTTGTCTTTGAGATTAGGGTTTTCTAGCGGTTGATTTTATCTTGCCATACACACCCTAATTACTAACAATTTATATTAAAGCGGTAAATTACGGTGAAACAACCGGCTGAAAATCATCAAAACAATGAAGTCGCCATCGAACGTCTTTTATCCCATATGTAGGGAAAGGTAAACATTGAGAAAACCTGAGAAGGGAGAAGTCACGGTCTTGCGACCGAGAGATCGGGTAAGGGAGTCTGTTACACGAGGGGAAGGTATTAGCACCCCACACGCCCGTAGTACTCTAAGGTATCCACTCTTGTTATCTATCTTATGGGTGTGTTTAATCTATGTTTACTGTTTATTACTGCTAAAGGGAGAATGCATGCAAAATAAAGGGGGAAAATGTAGGGAAAATAAAATTATTCTCGCTTGGGCCCTAACCCAATGCCTACATATCCGTTTTGAGGAATCAGAGCTACCGTAGTTCAGCTCATATGTTTTTATTTGTTTGTGTTTTTTATGGACGAAGTTAATTCTGCCTTCTGCCGCAACTCGACCTTCAGAGACTTATGCGTTGGCACATAAGTAAATTAATCGTGTCCTTACCTGAAAAGAGTTTCTTATAAAAAGGTGCTCGAGCGTACAAAATGGTTTGAGTTGGTTTGTATTTTGTTGTAGATAACGAGTAGTTGACCTCAAGAGAGAGATATTAGTCGCTTTTCTACTTAGCCATGAAAAGAGTCTTTGAGAATTGAACCACACCTAAACTTGAGATGAAGAACAATAAGATCGAGAAGAGACTCGCTTATCATTTCCCATACTAAGCAAAAGCATGATTCTCATCAGTAGTTTTTTAAAGTGTTTTGAATTTTGAAAGAAAAAGAAGTTTTAGTTTTGAATTCATATGCAAAAGGAGAAAGAAAAGTCAAAGGGGGACTAGCCTATTTTTAAACCTAATGTTTTCGTGCATTGTTAGACCTACAGTTTGGATGAAAGAGGGAATTTCTACCTAATGTTAGCATGCTTAGATTTATAATCCTAATGTCCAATTTTGGTTCAATTGAATCGAAGATTAAATTTGAACAAAATATCCTAAGGGGTCATCGTATTTATAAGGATAACACAAAAACTAATAAGCAATAAAGTACGAAAATGAGGAATAAAATGGGGTCACGATGATACCGAACAGAGAAGGTCCGTTGCCTCTTCAAAGCCACACAAACCATAAGAAAACTCTACAGAAGTTGCTCCGCATGAGTGATCGAAAGTTAATCTCCAAGCATTTCCCATCGCGAAAGTTATATCAATACTATCACGAAATCTAACAGAGAATGTTTGTTGCTTCTTCAAAACCACGCAAGAAATGAGAAAACTCTACTAAAAACCTCTTTGAATTTTCTTTATTGAACATTATGCTCTTAGCTAGCTTCGAAACCTCTAGGAATCTTCAATAAAATCTTCTGATCAATTAAAAACCAGCTACGACGAATATACCATTAAATTGAAAAAGTATGGAAAATTAGGCTTCAACAGGGTGCAATGCTGGATTCAGGATGTTGTATAGTAATTGAAATCTGGGCACTAGGCCCATCAAAAATGGTCCGATAAGCAAATTTTTGTTGGATTCTTTTCATGCTACAAAAAAAAAACAATTCCCATGGATCAAAAAGGTTGGTGGTTCGGTCCATATTCACCCAAATTCAGACCAACATGTTCATTATTATATTTTTTTTATTTAACAGAAAATTAATAAAAATGAAAAAAACATATAAAAATTTGAAAATCAATATATCAGAAAGAAGAAGGATTGAAAAGGGACACTTCAACTTCTTGCAAATGCATGAACGTTCATCTTTATCTCTCTCATGGCGGCGCCTCCGATTCACCACCTCTTTCACCCGTTTAACCTTCCTCCACCTCACTCTTCGTCGTCGTCGGTTCTCTTCTTCTTCTCTGACGCAAATTCCAACGAGAATCTCCGTAGCCACCATCGCCCCTTTAACCTTCCCCAAATCTCTATGAAACGAACATAAACTCTTCGTTATACTACCGTTGGATCAAGAATCTCGCGTCAATTTCTTCCAAAGACCTCTCATATGGCCGGATCGAAGGAGTATCTTCAAAACCCTAAGTCTTGGAGAACTTCAAGGACGTGAACCGAAGCCAAGGTACACATAAGGGATTATAACTCGGGAGATAAAACGGCCGATCCAGAACTGGTATAGACGAAACCTGATTGAAGGCGTGGAATTCTGGCGCGATGCTTGCCTACCTCCAGTGTCACCACAAGGTATCCTCCTCTTTTTTACTCTCTTTTCTTATTCTACTTTGAATACCTTGCGACTTCATTTCTCACTCATTCTTCTACTCGAACTTCTGCGTGCGTTTTAGAGCTTGAATTGGTTATTGTTATTGTTGTGCGTTATGAAGATGAAGATGATGAATGATGAAGGTGGTGGATTCCAAGAGAGGAAGATTCGGTTATGGTAGATAAATATGGTGAAGTTCTTGATTCATCAACAAAGATGATGATGAAGGTGGTTATGGAGGTTCAAAGAAGATAAAGGTGAAAATAGAATCCAGAGAGAGATATGGAGATTCTGGTGATGGATGAATGAAAAATGAAGAGAGAAGTTTGAAGATTGCCGATAGAGATATGGGGATTCTGGTGATTTTTGTGATTCTTCTCAGAAAATGAAGAAATCCATTTGAAAGAGGTATCAATCGTTTTTTATCAATCTCTTAGATCTAGGAAAAGTTAGTTACTGATTTTTTTGTTTTGGGTTGCTGCTAGTTCCTTATATCCTTCTTCTTGTTCTGAAATTGTTGAGAAGTTGTTAGGAGTTTGTTATTCGGTTATAGGTTATGTTGCTATAAGTTGGTTAGAATGGTT